TGGCAAAATTTGGGCTCTTTTTCCCAATTGGACGTCAAATGATACTTTAAAGTAATCAGGTCAATAAACATTACTTCTGACAGTAGCTTCTGAATACATAATTTTTTTTATTTCTTTCATTTACAAACACCTCAATATTTGTAAATCATATCAAGTAATTCTATGGTTTTACATTGCATATTTTTGTCTTGCACATTCCTTACAATATTGTTCTGCTTCACAGTTTAGTACAGTTTTGGTAGTTAACCTGTATTCTGTATTAAACCCAAAAGCAAACATTTATTATATTGCAGCTTGCCAAGTTTTATATGTGATAGCTGCATTAGTTTTCTTTTTTAGGCTTTCTTTCCTTTTTTTTCATCAAGTGATCTGGACAGTAATTTTTTTTTTCAAACGAAGAAGCTCTCTTCCAGATATATAAGTTTACAGGGTTGAGACAAGCCATTTAACACCGACAGGGGTGCTTGCAATGATCAGCTTTTCATTCATGTAAAACCTTTATTCCAACAGGAAAAGACAGTTTGCTGTAACTGCTTATAAATTGTGAGCTGGAGTCTGACTTCAGTTTGTTAGTGTATTTATATCTGCTATATCTAACCCTCCTGTGCTCTCCAGACTGATAATGCTGCTTTCCAAAGGTAGCCCCTGTGCTCATGCATCCAGAGTGGGGACATTAAAAATGTGTGTTACTGGCCAGATTGCCAGGTAAAACAGAGGGGGGGGGGGAAAGCCTTACAAAGGAAAACTAATGCAGCCACCACATCTGATTGGTAAGCTGCAATATTTATTACATTGTTGGTTTGTGGTTTATTACCACTTTAATTTAATTGGGACACATCTACACTTTAGCCAATGTTCAGGAAGACTCTGTGTGAGGCTAATAGAATATTGTGCAATAGGTGTATTTATCAATGCAGCATTCATAAGTTAGACTGGCAAAAGGAGTGGATTTAACCCTTACAATGCAGCTCCAGTTTAGCCCTTCAAATGTGATACTATAACCAGGTGACAGCAAAAGATTACACTCACCTTTTAGCTCTTGCTCATTATTGTCAATGATGACCGTGTTTCTTGTAACAGAATTGTGATATCTTAGAGATACCCAGCTGTGCTTTCTTTTATGGGTGATCCTGGTTCTTTAAGGAAACATGAAACCTGGTAGCCAGCTTTCTTCCTGTGTTTACTTTCATGCATTGAAGCCTTGTACAACACAGGGAAGTTTGAACTATGCTCCGTAGGTGTGATACTTGTGATAAGCAGTCTGCTGTTCAGCCTGGGACTGGCACCTCCCTGTACTCCAAGCAGCAGGTATTTCTCTCCGGTCACCAAATAATGAAAGGAACAGAGCTCATGTCGCATGCAGGTTGTATTAAAAAAAACTTCCTTTATTTTTGTAAACTGTCACTTTCCTAAAGATGTTTGAATTAATGGTTGGTTAGTCTAGGCTTCATTGTGTCTGTCTCCGCCATCACAGAAACAGAGGTATACATGTGGTTTCTGAGTTTAGGTCATTTGTACAAAGGCAGAAGTGAAGCAGAGTCGGATTTTTTTTTTTTTTATGTCCTGTAATTAGATTTACTTTGTAATGTAGCAGTTCACATACTACTACTTCTGGTAGCTGAAAATGTGAGCTGATTTGCTTTGAATATATACTGTATATATTTTGTGACTTTTGCTTATAGTTACTGCTTGTTCCATGTTTTCATTGGGCTATTACTTATACAGATTTCTAGATTTTCCAACCAGTGGCTATCTCGGTTTCAGGCTTCCTTCTGGATTTCCAGTACACCAGGATGTTGATTACAAACATGTAAATATTGTCTGAATACTCTTAAAGCTGAATTCCAGGGTTTCAGCTCCTTTTGTAAAAAGTGGAGGCACTCTGAGTTAGGTCCAAAGAGGTGCATGACATCTGGACTTGTCTCTAATATTTATATCGAACAGGTTATATTACTCCTGGAAGACAGATATTGATGTATTTCCAGGAGGCAGATTCTGATCTCTACATCTTCGACAGCAGAGTTTCTGTAGCTGCTATGCCTGCCCCTCCCCTCCACATGCCCAGTCACAGAAGCCTTGGAATTATGGGAACACATTCACAAAATACAAAGGCTTCTGTGAATGAGCAGCAGAGGTGAGGGGTGGGCATAGCTGTTCTGCGTGCTTCTCCTCCCTGAGAATGTAAATACTAGAGATAGGTCCAGGAGGTGTCATGCACCTTGTTGGACTTAACTCAGTGTGTCTTCACTTTTTACAAAGTGGCTAAATTCCTGGAAATCAGCCATATTTATGTGAGCATCACTGCACAGCTCCTATTTGGCAGTCCCAGGGTGCCATAGTGGCACTAGGCATTTCAATTATGTGGAATCCTTTTTGCTGTAAAATGTCCCATTCTATTCCCCCTGTATCATAAATGGTGCAAAAAGCTTCATCTGTGATTCACACATGAAGAGAAACTGTATTCTTGCCCAAGAAAGGAATAGTTTGTGCAGAACATTGGTTTCATTAGTTTGGCTAGCTATGCAAACTGAGAAATGGTAAAGTATAATGAATGTTTCATAGCTAATCCGGAAGACCAGCCTGTATAAGAATGAACAAATATGGCTCTCTCCCCATGTACACCTATGATGATTATTACTATACTGGATTTATATAGCACCAGCAGATTACAACCTAATTAGAAACAAGCTTTCTAACTTTGCACAGAGTTATAGAACTAGACTTTGTAATTTTAAAGTAGATCTAAACCCTAATTAGATGACACTTATTTTGCTAAAGTAGTTAGGGACGTGGTAGATAGTGGGCCAATCAGCAGGTATTTTCTGTAACAGCAGAATCACAGGGAAATGCACATGTATGGAATGTTTTTTTTTTTCCACCGACATACACTTTAGCCAACTTTAGTAACAGTTTAACCACTTGCCTACCAGGCACTTATACCCCCTTATTTACCAGGCCAATTTTCAGCTTTCAGCGCTGCCGCACTTTGACAATTGCGCGGTCATGCAACATTGTACCCATATGAAATTTTGATCATGTTTTTCTCACAAATAGAGCTTTCTTTTGGTGGTATTTAATCGCCACTGGGCACTTTACTTTTTGCACTATAAATAAAAAAAGTGCAAAAAATTTGAAAAAAAAAAAAGTTTCTTTGTTTCTATTATAAAATTTTTCAAACAGGTAATTTTCTCCTTCACTGATGTGCGTTGATGAGGCAGCACTGATGGGCACTGATAGGCGGCACTGATGGGCACTGATAGGCAGTACTAATGAGGTGGCACGGATAGGCGGCACTGATAGGCAGCACTAATAACGTGTCACGGATAGGCGGCACTAATATGCAGCACTGATAGGCGGCACTGATAGGCGGCACTGATGGGTGACACTGATGATGGGTAATGATAGACGGCACTGACTGGCATCACTGCTGGGCACTGACTGGCACAACCGCTGGGCACTGACTGGCACAACCGCTGGGCACTGACTGGCACAACCGCTGGGCACTGACTGGCACAACCGCTGGGCACTGACTTGCAGCACTGGTGGGCTGCACTGGTGGGCGGCACTGGTGGGCGGCACTGGTGGGCGGCACTGGTGGGCGGCACTGGTGGGCGGCTCTGCTGGGCGGCACTGGTGGGCGGCTCTGCTGGGCACAGGTAGGTGGCACTTCAGAGTGGCACAGGTGGGTGCATTGCTGGGCACAGGTGGGTGCATTGCTGGGCACAGGTGGGTGCATTGCTGGGCACAGGTGGGTGTGCACTGCTGGGCTGCACTGGTGGGTGGCACTGCTGGGCTGCACTGGTGGGTGGCACTGCTGGGCTGCACTGCTGGGCTGCACTGGTGGGTGGCACTGCTGGGCTGCACTGCTGGGCGGCACTGCTGGGCTGCACTGGTGGGTGGCACTGCTGGGCTGCACTGGTGGGCGGCACTGGTGGGCGGCACTGGTGGGCGGCACTGGTGGGTGGCACTGGTGGGCGGCACTGGTGGGTGGCACTGGTGGGCGGCACTGGTGGGCGGCTCTGGTGGGCGGCTCTGGTGGGCGGCTCTGGTGGGCGGCTCTGGTGGGCGGCTCTGGGGGCGGCTCTGGTGGGCGGCTCTGCTGGGCACAGGTGGGTGGCACTGCTGGGCACAGGTGTGTGACACTGCAGAGTGGCACAGGTGGGTGCATTGCTGGGCACAGGTGGGTGATCTGCTGGGCACAGGTGGGTGATCTGCTGGGCACAGGTGGGCGGAACTTGTGGGTGGCACTGCTGGGCACCGATCATCAGGACACTGATCAGCAGTGCCCTGATGATCGGTGCCGATCCTCGCTCTGACAACTGCCGGTTCTCGGCAGTACTTTCCTCACGATCTGACAGCGTGAGGAAAGTGCAGCCGAGAATCGGCAATTAAATTTTCCAGTGATCAGCGTGTCATTGGACACGGCTGATTACGTGGTAAAAGGCCGCTGTGATTGGCCTTTTACCACATCACGTGATCAGCTGTGTCCGTAGGACACAGCGATCATGGAGATCGACGGGTGCGCGCCCCCTGGGGCGAGCAGGAGAGCGCGTTCTGGGAGGACGTCATATGACGTCCACCCAGAACTGGCCGGCCGCAGTGCAGCCATCATTCGGCTATCTGCGGTCGGCAACTAGTTAAACAATGTCACAATATTTAACAACTCTTTTTCTTTTTTTTAATTGTTTTCGTAAACTGCATATAGATCAGATGTCAGACTTGGCAAGTTTTAGGATGTCTACTATACTCACATCATAACGAGCACATAGAATGGCTGATTTTAGTGTTTAAGAACAGGTGCACTTTATGGGTTTATATTGACACAGAAAAAATACATTCTATAGAACTCATCTGTTGACTAGATCATGGTAGAATGTCTATTACGTCCTGCATTCAAATCTGATTCTTGGTATATGCAAGTTCCCCTGTGACATTCTTTCTCTGCAATTGTCTTTTGCATCAAGTATGCTTTTATGTTAACCTAAAGTGTGTATTTGCAGGGAGAACTTATCACCTTTTACTACTACTGGAAGAAAACTCCTGAAGCAGCAAGCTCCCGTGCCCACCGCAGGCATCGAAGGCAGGCAGTCTTTCGGCGGATAAAAACTCGTACCGCCACCACACCAGTAAACACTCCCTCCCGGCCTCCATCCAGTGAGTTTTGTAAGTGTGTTTGTTACTCTAGCTTGTGTCTGAAGATAACATTCAAACATTGGAATGTTTACACAATGAAATGTGGCTAAAACTGATCAAATAAATGATGTGTGCATATACTGTATATACTAACATATACAGTATATTCTTAGAATTATTATATTATTATTATTATACAGGCTATATATAGCGCCAACAGTTTGCTCAGCACTTTACAATATAAAAGGAGACAATCCAGCAACAATACAGTCAAATACAAGAGGGTTAGGAGGGCCCTTCTCCTTGGAGCTTACAATCTAAGAGAATTAGTGTAGTGTGTACCATAAACAGTGTGCCTGCAGCTCTACATCTTTTCTGGCTCTTACAATTCCACAAGCAGATTTGTTATATAGCATTAGCCAATCAGATTTCAGTTTACTGCATCCTGGTTGCTTATACATCAGTTTATTGACATCTACTCTGTCGATATCTCTTTGCTTTTCTGAGTAAGCCACAAATATCAAGGGGAAGAGCAGTAGCTTTCTCAGTATCAGTCTTTCTTTTAGGTTTTCAGTGCAGAATGTGAAATATGAAAGGACAGTGGTGGATTCTATAGGTGGCAAGCACTGTTCTTTCTTCAATACCACAGTGGTAAGGCCATATTGCTGCTTTGTATACTGAGCTCTGTACAGTACCAGTCTGGATTGTGCAGATACAAAAAAATCTTTATATATATATATATATATAGATATATATAGAGATATATATATAATTGTTAAAGGGAACGTATGGCATTTTATTTCTTTAATGAACAATATTTTAACACTATTTCCCCCCTTTATCATAATTTTATATTATAATATCTGTCATTTCCTGTATACAGTAAAGCCTGTCTTTGTATGTGAGATTATAAATACTTTTCTCTTTACTGTGTTTGCTGACAATTGAAACTCCTTTTATACTATTTTTATAACATTTCCAACATAAAGGTGAAAGGCGTTGCGAAGGTATACTTCTTGATTTAAAGTTTGAGGGGCTTTTCAACTTCTACAGATCTGCCTTCCTTTTCATTGGCCAATGGTTTCTGCAGTCATAAGCTTGTTAGCTCTTATACTGTCAATTCTGTATTCTTGGTCATTTGCTTGTGAATGTGCTTTAATCAGTGCTAGTGTTCATGCATTCTTTTTTTGTATACAATAATTCATGCACTCTCAACCTAAGAATCATTCATGTTTATGAAGAGATGCCTTGTAAGAAACATCTTCCAATCACCTTATGCCTTTGGCCAGCCGAACACTCGCCAATCTGCCTCCATTAGTCCACCTAGTCAGAGCTGTTGAAAGCTGAATGTTTGGTTACCACCTGGTGTTGCTATACTGTGTTCTGCATATGCCAAAATAAGCCGTACAGATGTTTGTCTGTTCATGAACTACTAAAAGGAGTGTGCTCTGACTGATTCATTGTAGAACGTGGAGATGCTAGTTAGCTCCTAAAACCTTAATTACACTATATTATTCTGTCATTGTGTTTATTTAAATCTAGTGCTTTTATTAGTTAAGGGGTTAGGCAATTACTTCAGGTGAATGATTTTTACATAAGGAATATGCTTAATAGCAATTAGTAGGCTGTTCTTTGCCTGCCGGGCAAAGACAGTTGAGGCTGGGGAGGGATGACAGATACAGGTGTGATAAGCAGATGGCGTTTTCCTTTCACCTTGTCTGGGAGCTTACTGTGTGTCAGGGCCGGCCTGATTAGCATGCATACAATGAGCTGTCACTGTGCTTTATATAGATATTATACAGTTATCAGGTATACTTTGAGCAGCAGGTATATTTTGATCCTATCTTCATCTAAAAATACAGTGCAACCTGTCTTCTGTACAGTTATCCAACATCCTGATTTAGATGTGCAGAGAAAAATGTAAATGTTCCACATTCTAACCTTACACTTTTCTAAAATCCATTCCACACACACTACCCTGCAGTAACCCCCTTGTACCGTATGCGTTTGTAGACAGCATTGTATTGGTCATTAAACTAAGTAATCTCCATTTTTGCCAATATGCTTATATACCTACATAATACAATCCAGAGGCAGGATTTGTGTGGAAATTTTATATTCAAACATTTATCGGTTTTTCCTTGTGTGTGTGTTTTTTTTTTTCCCCTCTAGTGGACCTGAGCTCAGCCAGTGAAGATGACTTTGACAGTGAGGACAGTGAGCAGGAGTTGAAGGGTTATGCTTGTCGCCACTGCTTCAGCACTAGTATGTAATCTGTTTAAACCTTTTCAGCTAGAGTCTGGCAATTTTATATATACAGAACAAGTGCTGCTTACATTCTGGTCTGACGCTACTTATGTCCTCTTACTGCAGCTTCCAAGGACTGGCACCACGGGGGTCGGGAAAACATTCTTCTTTGCACTGACTGTCGGATTCATTTTTAAGAAGTACGGAGAGTTACCCCCTATTGAAAAGCCTGTGGACCCCCCACCATTTATGTTTAAACCTGTCAAGGAGGAAGAAGATGGTCTGAACGGAAAGCATAGCATGAGAACTCGGAGGAGCAGAGGCTCGGTACGCTAACTTTTTATGTTGTCATCCAGACTGATCATGCTTGGTTTAGGTTAGACCTGTGTGCACTGCATATATAGTGTAATTAGGAAGTGTTCAAAACCACTCTGTTTCGCACTATTCTAATCCTAAAAGGATAGGTTACAGTTTAGCAGCTTTAAATTGTTTCATATGGTATATGAGAGCTGAGCTGCATTGGCTGCTGCAGGTTGCTGCCACCTATTACTCATTTTATTAGCTGTAAAGTAGTGCACCAGGATCTGATGTTTTCCTAAAAGCTAAAATCTTTGGCCTCCTGCACACGGTACTGATGTTTGAGCATCTACTTTTTTAATATAATTTCAGGCACTTGTTTTGCACGTATTCACGCGTACTTATGTGCATATTTGCGTACTTATGTGCATTTGCACGCACAATATATTCTGGAAATTTACTTTTTCTGCTTATTTGCATGCATATGTGCGTATTTGCGGGCAGACAGTGTAAATTACTGACCAAAAATGCAGATTTTCCAAAAATTTTTTACTGAGGAATACACGGCACCTGTTTGCAAAGGCACATTGTAAATAATGGGCTACATTTTACCTCCATAAAACGCTGTACTGCATTTTTTTTAAAGCTGCACTATGCAAGAGGCTTAATGAAACAAGTCATAATTGTAAAAAGTAACAAAAATATATATGCAAAGTATATATGTAGCCTACAGACCTCCAATAAAAAAAAATGGTAGCAGCCAGCCACTTAAAAAAAAAAAAAAAAAATACATGTGAAGATTCTTTCAGTGTGCACATAAAGCGAAAGGAAATCATTTGATTCCTTGAAGCTCTCTCAAGGCCTAAGGCATGTGTTCACACTACATTCTAACCTTACACTTTCCTAACATCCATTCTGCACACTACTCTGTGGTAACACCCTTGTACCAGAAGAGTTTGTAGATAGCATTCTATTGATCATTAAACTAGGTATACAGGTAGCAGCAAAAACGCACCCCAAATTCCTTGTTTCTAATGCCGGTGTGAACAGGGCCTAATTTAAAGCCATTATTGTATGTCTTGAAGAGTCAATTTTGCATTGTGCTAATTCAGAGATCTTATGGGCATTCAGTTGTCCTGCTTATCGCAGTACGTTTTTGTTGTGTGGCTGGCTCCTTTTAAATGTTTTTAATTTTATTGGCAGGCTATTGACTATGGTTATAAAAACTTAGTGGTTGTAAAGCCTGAAGGTTTTTTTTTACCTTCATGTATTTTGTGCATAAAGGTAAAAAAAAAACCTTCAGTATGCAGCTCCACCTGAAGCCCCCTTAATACTTACCTGAGCCCAACAATGTGCACGAGAGCAACTGGGGTCCTGGATCTCTGTCTCCTTTTTATCTGGACACACAGAGTGGGGTTCGGGAGTGAGCATGCACAAGTGCCCCCAGAGCAAGCAGCCTGCTATGGAGGCACTAGGCAGGGGACAGGAGCCCAGAACACCAGCAGGGACCCAGGAAGATGAGGATCAGGGCTGCTCTGTGCAAAACCCTTACACAGAGCAGGTAAGTATAATATGTTTGTTTTAAGAAATTAAGCCTTTAATATTACTTCTACATCTTCTTGACTAGTTTTTAATTTTTTTTTTTTAATTTTCTTTACATACTGAGATGTGCCATTTTGACCTCTCTATACTGGCATGGGAGATTGAGAATCATGAGATATCATTTTCTTTTTAAATATGTGAGTTTGATTCAAATGGGTCTTCTGCTTATGAATGCAAATCTCTGCAGATTAAAGCTGGGCCATACACCGATCCGAATTTGGCCAGTTCAGTGGGGACTGGCTGCATTTTTGCCAGTGTTGGGCATCCCTGCTCGACAAAGGTCAAATGTTTGATCAACTTCTTTTGAAGGGACTTGCTGGAAAACTTTTGTTGAAACGGCAGCCACTGATATTTGGATCCTGACCATTGGAGGTCCCACTGTGTGGCTGGAGGAATCCATTTGTTTTTTAATCTGAACGCTGGCTAAACCGAGAAAAAAAATTAAATAAACTGTTTAAAAATTATTATATTATTCTTTACTTTTTGGTGTTCATGGTGCAGTTCAAATACTGCACATTTATAAGTAGCTGAGAGTTATATCACAGATGAAGGCAGTCAACATTTTTTGTACCAAATAAAAAACATCTTAGTGTTTTTAGTTTTTTTTTTATTTTATTTTCAGGATTGTACAAAGATCTGTGGTGTTTACACATGTTGGAACTCATTTGTAAACACCAGGATAAAAACAATTGAAGCCGTCACCCATAACAGCCATATTTCAACTATCATTTTTTTTTATGTGAAGTAGTAAAAGTCTAGATGTACTGGTAAAACAACTGTCACTCAATCCACTGACACCCACTGTAAGATTAACTGAGCTATGTACCCATCCCCAGCTATCCACATACCTTAATTCCAGAGCTACAGCCTCCTATATCAAGACTTGAGATCCTTGTTTTAGGGCCTCATTCAGATAAAGACCCAGTGCCCAGGGGCAGCTGCTAGGGGACAGGGGGAGTAGCAGTGCCATCTTGCTTAAGTGGATTTATTGACACTATATAGATACATCTGTCCATTAAAACAACATTAAAGCTTTTTTTTTTTTTTTTTTTTTTTAATTAAAATAACAAGCATTTCATACTTGCTTGCTCTGTGCAGTGGTTTGGCACAGAGCAGCCCCAATACGTCTCTTCTGGGGTCCCTCGCTGGCTCTCCTCTTTGGCAGGTGTCCCAATTGAAAGCTGCTTTTCATGGGGGCACTTGTGCGAGCTCACACCTGAACCATGCTGTCTGTGTCCATTGACACAGAGCGGGCAGCTGTGCCCCTGCTTTTATCAATCTGCCCAGGGAGGAGGGGAGACAGTGGCTGCTGCTCTCATGCACATCACTTGATTGGCTAAGGTAAGAATAAGGGGGACTGGGGGTAATTGTGTAGCACAGAAGGTTTTTCACATTAATGTATAGAATGTATTGAGGTCAAAAACCTTAAGGGTTTAGAACCACTTTAATGGGTAGTTGAAAAATGTGCTTAGTTCCTTCTTGTTTGGTTAGGGTCTTAGACAAAAGGCTTCCCTCTTTACTATTGCAAATTCATCTGTGTCATATGATTGTTTCTCCTGCCAAATAGATGTCTACGTTACGTAGTGGACGTAAGAAACAGACTGCCAGTCCAGACGGCAGAGTTTCCCCCATAAATGAAGACATTCGTTCCAGTGGCCGAAACTCGCCAAGTGCTGCCAGCACATCTAGTAATGACAGCAAAGCAGAGTCCCTGAAGAAGCCATCGAAGGCAAGTAGCAATTAACAAGTCAGACAGGGCTGTTCAGTATAATTTGCTCAAAAGACGAGCTATGGCTCTAGATTACTGTTCCATATGGTAGCAGATTTACAATGTATAATATGGCCTCTCTTCTGCACTTTAATACTTAACACCTTTTTCCTGCAGAAGATAAAAGAGGAGCCCTCATCCCCAATGAAAAGTGCCAAACGTCAGAGAGAAAAACCTGCTTCTGACACAGAGGAGGCTGACAGAACCACAGCAAAGAAATCCAAAACACAAGTGAGTTGTCTTTCAAACTCTACTAGGGGGACCATTGTTACCTTTTTCTGCTACTGTTTAGAGGTTACCTCTCACATATTGAAAAATTATGGATTTTCTTCTATTTGAGACTCAAAAGTATGTTTGGGTGTTATTGATAATGTTTTAGAGCTGCACATGTAGTTGTGGTATGTCAGTAACTACTTTCAAGACCTGTCTCTGAACATTTGAACTCTGATATGAGCAGCCTGGCACATCCAGATAGTATTATATTCCTGCACAGTAGTGGCATTTTATAATTCGGTGTTCAGGTATGTCTGAGGCCAAGTACACATGATCACCTTTAATCTGCTTATAACTGCTAGTCTCAGGAGTATCACATTTGAGAACAAGTTAATAGTGTTTCAGAGATCAAAAAAGAGGGATTGTTGCGGGACATATATCTAAGAGATCAACCTAAAAGTCAGTAAGAGGTTGTCCAAAAGTGCTCTATCAGTATCTGACGTATTTAAATGATGGGCGTATTTTCATCAGGAATGTCATATCTATATATGTGTAATAAAGCATAATTTTGGAAATTTTCTGAGTTATTTCCAGAAAACTTTATTACTATGCATGAATTATTTCCAGAAAATTATACTATGCAGGCAACAATATTGTTAACAATACACCATTAAAACGTAGTCTCTGAGCTCTAGTCAAGTGACTTTGTCCAAACCTGAAAAATCATGTCATACGTTGACTGCAGGCAGAAGGAAAGCATTTGAAAAGTCTGTCTCCAATGATCACTATTGTAATTGAGTAGGTCTCCTTTCAAAGTGGGAGTGGCCTGTGTGATTTAGCATGCAACCAAGATCAGACTACTGATTTAATATCTAATAAAATGTTAAAAATATTAATCTTATATAAACCACCAGACTGTCTTGCTAAATGTAATAGGGATTTTAATCTTGAAAAGTTTATTTTTTCATTCAAGACAGCCTTTCCCATTTTGATAAATGTGTAACTTAAAACTTCTAGACTAACTTATTGTGTCTTCTAAAGGAGATCAGTCGGCCAAACTCCCCATCAGAAGGAGAAGGGGAGGGTGAAGGAGAAGGTGAAGGTGAAAGCTCCGACAGCCGAAGTGTTAATGATGAAGGCAGCAGTGATCCTAAAGACATTGACCAGGATAATCGCAGCACATCTCCCAGCATTCCCAGTCCCCAAGATAATGAGAGCGACTCTGACTCCTCAGCCCAGCAACAAATGCTGCAACCTCCAAGTGGAACTCCAGCAATGGTCCCTCCTGCTGTTTCACCAGGGCCTCTTCCAGCAATTGCTCCTCCACCACACAGCATTGCTCCTGCCCAGATATCACCTTCTCCATCAATACCTCCTATTCAGCCTCCACAGCCCCCATCTCTCTCACTTGTTCAGGCACCAGTTTTGCACCCTCAAAGACTTCCCTCTCCACACCCAGCAATACAACCTATTGCAGGGTCACAAGGAGAGCCACAGCCTCCAGTCCCTACTCAAATACACCCACAATCACCTCATCATGGACCATTAGCTTCTTTACCACATAACATGCCACCACAACCCATTTTACAGTATCCAGGTTCTTCTCCACCTCAGCCCTGCCCTGCTCAGGTCTCTCCAGTGCCACAAACCCCATCTCATAATTTTCCTCATAGTACTCAGGGACCACCAAATGCTCCTCAGCCTGCTCTGCAAACACCACCTCAGCCTTTGCGTGAGCAGCCTTTACCCCAAGCACCCATTACCATGCCTCATATCAAACCTCCTCCCACCACCCCTATTCAGCAAACTCCTGCACAGACACATAAACATCCTCCCCACTTACAAGGGCCATCTCCCTTCTCCCTCAACTCTAATTTACCACCACCCCCTGCTCTTAAGCCACTTAGTTCACTACCTGCCCATCATCCTCCTTCTGCTCATCCACCTCCTTTGCAGCTTATGCCTCAGAGCCAGCAACTTCAGGCAACAGCAGCTCAACCACCAGTCCTGACTCAAAGCCAAAGTCTTCCCCAAACACCGGGGCACCCTCAGTCAGGTCTTCACCCCTTACCTCCTCAGCCTTCCTTCTCCCAGCATTCATTTGTGCCTGGAGGCGCACCATCTATAACTCCTCCTACCTGTGCTCCTGCTCCTACCCCATCATCCTTGCCATCACCATCTCCAAATCTTCAAACACCCTTACCCGTTACAACTTCCACTGCTGCTTCCAGTGTCTGCATTCCTGTGGTATCGCCATCTCCCAATCCACCTCCACTGCCACCAATACAGATCAAAGAAGAGGTACCAGATGAAATTGATGAGCCTGAAAGTCCTCCACTTCCTCCTCGAAGCCCATCACCAGAACCCACTGTGGTTGATGTTCCTAGTCATGCCAGTCAGTCTGCAAGGTACTATTGCAAGATGCTTGTTCTATGGAAGATGTCTGCTTGTTTATCATCCCAGTTGCTAATCATAACTTGTTTCCACTGATCAGAAGTGAATGTAGTGCAGCGTTGCTTGACTTTTTTTAATGATTTCTTTCACGAATGAACAGCTATAATTTATTTACAAATTTCTACATCTACATGCATGATATTAAGGCATAGCTAAAAATAAAGGTCACTAAAGAAGTTCTTTAATGTTCACTTAGTCTTTGAGAAAACTGTATGTTGTGAAAGATGTAGCTAGGTGTTACATAGTGGATAAGTATAATGTGCAGTAATGTTCTAAGGTTCCCAATTACAGTTGGCATTTTTTCTTGTCCTACACCAACCTGATATTGATCCCATGGTAAAATAATACACTGAAACCTGCAATGGAAGGGCCAAGCCACAGAGTCTACCTTCATCCTTTGCAGCATTGTTTACTGAAATACAGGTGTTCTATCAGATAAAGCCGTATACTTAAATAAAAATAAAAAGTATATATTCCTGCGCCAATCCAAATTAATTAAATCACTCTTCTAAATTGCTGCTATACAAAAATTGTGAATACACAAACAGTGAAATATATAAATAAACAGCGCAAAATAGATATTAATAAATGACAAAATATCAAAATTCCATATCACTTAGTGCATGTTTGTGTCAAAAAACTCCATAAAGTCCCTTGTGGTGAAAAATAAAGACCTCCAAATGAGATTCCTAGCACCTTCCACCTTTCACCCGTGCACACCAACATCAAATGCACTCACCAGATTTAGGTGCATGTAAAGCCTTTGGGAATTTTATAGGGAATCCCACGCCCTCTTTCCATCCACTCAATGTTAGCCTCCCCAGGATAGGATCCTCTTTCAAGTCCTCACCGTGGCCTCCTCGCTTCCTCCACCGTATTTTCAGAGAAAAAAAACTTGCATAGTGTAATATTGCCAAGATCATTCTAATCCTATATTGAACAGACTCCAGGCCACTCACATTTCAATAGATAATAAAAGCACATTTATTGGTCCCAAGACAGCCAGATGATCACAGCCAGCACATCCTCCAGGGTTCCCACATCAATGCAGTCAGATGAGGCAGAGACTTAGCTAATAACCAGCCTAAATCTCGCAAAATGGCCGCTGGAACGCACCGCTCGGCGTGCGCTCCACTTACCGGAAGTGACGTCAGACGTACAGCAAATGGACCGGAAATGCGTCAACGCGTTTCGCCCCTCCCATCGGGCGTTCTCAACACTTGAGAAGGTCTTGAGAACGCCCGATGGGAGGGGCGAAACGCGTTGACGCATTTCCGGTCCATTTGCTGTACGTCTAATGTCACTTCCGGTAAGTGGAGCGCACGCCGAGCGGTGCGTTCCAGCGGCCATTTTGCGGGATTTAGGCTGGTTATTAGCTAAGTCTCTGCCTCATCTGACTGCATTGATGTGGGAACCCTGGAGGATGTGCTGGCTGTGATCATCTGGCTGTCTTGGGACCAATAAATGTGCTTTTATTATCTATTGAAATGTGAGTGGCCTGGAGTCTGTTCAATATAGGATTAGAATGATCTTGGCAATATTACACTATGTAAGTTTTTTTCTCTGAAAACACGGTGGAGGAAGCGAGGAGGCCACGGGGAGGACTTGAAAGAGGATCCTATCCTGGGGAGGCTAACATTGAGTGGATGGAAAGAGGGCGTGGGATTCCCTATAAAATTCCCAAAGGCTTTACATTCCACCTAAATCTGGTGAGTGCATTTGATGTTGGTGTGCACGGGTGAAAGGTGGAAGGCTAGGAATCTCATTTGGAGGTCTTTATTTTTCACCACAAGGGACTTTATGGAGTTTTTTGACACAAATATGCACTAAGTGATATGGAATTTTGATATTTTGTTATTTATTAATATCTATTTTGCGCTGTTTATATATTTTAAAGCCGTATACTTACTAAAGACTGCAGGATGGACAAATTAGTTAATCTATATTTGTATATCTATATTTATCAAACGCACGATCTCTGTGCTCCGCCATATACTTAATCAATATTTTTTATTCTCTGTCAAAGTTTATTAATTTGTTTTACCACAGATTTTACAAGCATCTGGATCGTGGTTACAACTCATGTGCAAGAACTGACCTCTACTTCATCCCACGGGGTGACTCCAAGCTGGCCAAGAAGAGGGAGGAAGCAGCTGAAAAGGCAAAGAGGGAAGCAGAACAAAAGGTCCGAGAGGAGAGGGAGCGAGAAAAGGAAAAGGAGAAAGAAAAAGAGAGGGAACGGGAGCGCGAGAGAGAAGCAGAAAGGGCAGCAGTACGTCTCCTTTCTGAAATCCTTATAGTCTCAGCCTTCAAGATCCAGAAAATCTTTTTTTTTTTTTTTTGTTTTTGGATATGAGTCTTAAAATGCCTGTAATCCCACCCACTTATTTACTTATAGATTATCATTATAACTTTATATTTTCAGGTTTGTGGCCGAACGAGTCAGTATATCTTTTATGTGACCCAATCTGTAGGTTTTCAACTGCTTTTGGTCCCTAAAAGCAATTCAGAGACACCAGCTGTCACAGCAGAACTTTATATTTGAGTCTGTACTTATTGCTTGTCCACCCCAGTTAAAAAGTTAGGACAGGACTAATTATGTAAATGTAGCACATTGTATTTCTAACTTGTACATTTTCATGGTTTCTCATCTGTGTCATTTATCTGAATTTTTTCATACAGAAGGCTTGCAGTTCCCACGAAGGTCGTCTTGGAGAGTCTCAGATCGGAGGCCCAGCTCATATTCGACCATCCTTTGAGCCTCCACCAACAACCATAGCTGCTGTCCCCCCTTATATTGGGCCAGATACACCTGCTCTACGTACACTAAGTGAATATGCTCGACCGCACGTTATGTCACCCACCAATCGCAATCATCCTTTCTTTGTCCCTCTTAATCCCAATGACCCTCTATTGGCTTACCATATGCCAGGCTTGTATAATATGGACCCTACACTTCGTGAGCGGGAATTGCGTGAGCGGGAACTGAGGGAACGTGAAATCCGGGAGAGGGAGCTACGGGAGAGGATGAAACCTGGCTTTGAGGTTAAACCCCCTGAGCTGGACCAACTCCACCCTGCTGCTAACCCCATGGAACATTTTGCTAGACATGGTGCCCTTACCATCCCCCCAACGGCAGGACCACATCCTTTTGCTACTTTTCATCCTGGTTTAAACCACTTGGAGAGAGAAAGACTGGCCCTGGCAGGACCACAACTACGGCCAGAAATGACTTATCCTGAGAGACTGGCAGCCGAACGAATACATGCGGAACGAATGGCATCACTTACTAACGATCCCTTAGCCCGGCTACAGATGTTCAACGTCACACCTCACCACCACCAACACTCGCACATACATTCACACCTCCATCTTCATCAGCAGGACCCATTACATCAAGGTAAGTCATCAAATTAGTAATGGGAGATAGACGGGGAATCTCACAAAATGAGAAAACCTTGTCCTAGTAAAAGATGCACTTTTTACTTTAATCTGTGGGGAAGTTTACCTCATTTTCCAAAACATACCCTAGAAGAATGGAGAAAGTTATACATGGATGTGTTGTCAATACAACCAAATCGGTGTTGACTTGTAACTAGTAAACGGACAGATATAAATGTAGTTAAATCAGACAGGACCTCCACTGTTTAATTATTCCATTCATTTAGGATGCTATGGGGGAAAAAAAACAGGTAAACTTTCTCAACCAAGTACAGGCTGAACCTTTCAAAACAGTCCTGGCTTTCCTTGTCTGACCTGTCAGTAAATATTTTAAAATTTCTGCAGTCCTTTCAAAGTGACTTGGATTCAACAGAGATGACTGCTGTCTCCTTAGATTTGTTCAGTTAGCAATGATACAAAATAAATGCTTATAGATATAATTGGACTTGTTTCTGCTCCTCTAATACTACTCCTTAAAGACCTTTTTCTTTTAAGCTATCTTAGTGTATTTCTTGGCTGTCTCTGCAAGATTTTCATGACACATGTAGTTTTAATTGATTTTCTAGTTGGGTTGTCTTTTCCTGTTTGGTCTAATTGTGGTATTTGAGAGCATTACATATATTTAAAAACAATATAAACAAGTTATTGTCCTTTTTTTTTTTTTTTTTTTTTTGCAGTATGGTGGTTTCATTTGATTATTTTCTTTGCTTATGGCATATCTGTTATATGAGTCAGCATCTATAAATGTTTTCTTACATTGGACACATCTAATCACTGAATCTGTAGCTGTTTTTGTAATATTGGTTGTTACATTGTTAGGGGACCCACATGCACTGACATTGCCAGAAATCTAAATAGTTTGTCTAGCAGTCAGATATCAGGGACTGGTTTTCCATTGTTGTCCCTTTAGGAAGTTCAAGGAGCTCAGAATAGTTTTTTCCAGTGAGGCAGTTTCTGTGTGTCTTTGTTGTGCTGTGAGCTTTTCCTTATACTATAGAACTAGTTTTCAAATTGGAATTGGGTTAGAGAACTTCCCTTTTCCACTAGAACAGTATGATTGACTTGTGATTTGGCTGATTTATCAATATAGCCTCAACATCAACAGCAATTAATATTCCTTCCCTCACTGCTAAGGTACTCTCTTATATTCCCAAACTCAGACCAGGAACACAACAAGCACAATAGGATTTACACTGATCTTGCTACCACCAAATTTAGAGTTGCACAAGTCATAGGTTTGTCTATTTTCTAAGATAGCACTAGAAATTGACTTTTGGCCTCTTGTTGTTTGCTCCCGGCTATGGAGAGACCTTCCTTTTTTTGTACCAATTTTGTATCGATTAGGTGCAATGTAAAATTGCCCTAGCATGATTTTCTGCTGTAAGACTTAAGTTGGACCTTTTTTCAACAATATTTGGCATGTGTATGAACCAAATTTTCTCATACTGTACTGTATGTCCCTTATACCATTTGGGCGGACAGCACCTGCATTATCACGTCTGTCATAGTTGATCATCACTGTAGATGAGCAAATTTCTTGCAGGTCAGGTATCTTATTGGTCAAAAAACTATAAAGGCCCAATCAACAGGTATTTGAACTAATTTCCTGATTTTTTAACTACAGCAAGGACATAAAACTTCACTGTGCAAAATATTATTTGATATCTGTTTGCACTAAAGTCTTGGCTGTTGACCTTTGGCAAAAAAATATTGTGGCTATGAGCCGTTAAGAAGACTGACAGATCAAACCTAGGGTGGCTCAGCTCACTTCCTGGCCAGATCAGCCTGGTATTTTGGTAGCATCTAAAATCCATTTGTAATACATCTGTGTGATGTTGTAAAGATGGGAGGCATATTACGATGTTATGTGTTTTCAATAGACTGCTGCTGTAACTCTAAGTCTTGGCCGGGCGTGGCTGAAAACGGGACATGTGTTCCAGTCCACTTTCCTGGTAAATAAATGCAACCATTTTAAAAAAGAGGGAGAAGAAGGACTCGGGAGACCGGGATTATCGTCCAAAAAGAGAAGCGAGCCCCAGATTTTAAAAAAATATATTAGTTATTGTATATATTTAGCTGTGTTGGGTTTTGGTGTCAAGATTTTAAGCTTTAGCTAATCCGGTAACTCCAAACTTGGAGACAGGTCTTGTTTTTTTTTTCCAGTTTTGGATACTGCTGCTTATGGGGCAAAGAGAGGGGAAAAATCATAAAATTATCATAAACAGCCTTCCAATAGATGGCCTGTCTTCTGTAGTGCATAATATATAAAGGGTTTAATAACAAAAATGCCAAATAATCCCATTAACTTTATGAAGACTTTATACATTTTTAGGTACTTTAAACATTTTTTTTATGTGGTGACTTTAATGCATCACTATTACTGAATCATTTGCACGCTTATGAAACAACAAATGTGAATTATGTGCATTTGTTGTCTTTCTAGTGGTGTGGTAATCAAATGGTTGCTCTTCTGGTGTGCTCGGTTGGTGTTCAGTAAACAACCCTAAATAAACCCTGGTTTATATAAAAAACATTTAAATTACTGACAACTGGTTGGTGGCTTTTATTTTCCTGCCCACAATAGGATGTCAAACATCTGTTCTTTAAAGCCCAACCTCAGGCTAAATTATAATTGCACACAGGGGTCCCCCAACCTGTTGAATAAAATCTCTGCAGTACTTCTTCACCACTCAGTCTTTCAATTTGAATGACATTCAGTCTGACTCAACCCAGAAGATTGCATGCACTCCCAAGTGCTGCATGTCACCACAGAGGCCTTCACAGTGTACAGGTGCAGAAAGTGACACTGATGTAATTGCATCAGCCGAACTCTCAATAACAATATGGACCCCCAAGTCTGGAGAAAAGGACCCCGCACCTAAGTTTTGTATTTAATAGAGGTTTGACCATGTGTACAGACCAAATTAAATAGTTGTACAGTGGGCAAATAAATATTTGATCCCCTGCAGATTTTGTAAGTTTGCCCACTTACAAAGAAATGAAGGCTCTATAATTTTTTATCATAGGTGTACTTTAAATGGTAGAGACCGAATATAAACCAAAAATCCAGGAAAAAAACGCATGATAAAAATGTTATAAATTGAGTTGCTGTTCAGTGAGTAAAATAAGTATTTGATCCCCAAGCAAAACAAGACTTAGTACTTGGTGGAGAAACCCTTGTTGGCAAGAACAGAGAAAAAATGTTTCTTGTAGTTGGTTACCAGGTTTGCACACACCTCAGGAGGGATTTTGGTCTACTCTTCTTTACAGATTTTCTCTAAACGTGTAAGGTTTCTTGGCTGTTGCTTGGCAACTTGAAGTTTCAGTTCCCTCCATAAATTTTCTACAGGATTAAGGTATGGAGACTGGCTAGGCCATTCCATGACCTTAATGTGCTTTTTGAGCCACTCCTTTGTTGCCTGGGCAGTATGTTTTGGGTTATTGTCATGCTGGAAGACCCATCCATGACCCATCTTCAGTGTTCTGGCTGAGGGAAGAAGGTTCTCATGCAAGACTGTACACTACATGGCCCTGTCCATTGGCCCCTCAGTGCGGCAAAGTCGGCCGATACCTTTAGCAGAGAAACAGCCCGAAAGCATAATGTGTCCACCTCCGTGCTTGGCTGTAGGGACGGTGTTCTTAAGCTCATAGGCCACATTTTTCCCCCTCCAAACACGGTGAGTCGAAATAATACCAAAGAGCTCAATTTTGATCTCATATTACCACAGCACTTTCTCCCAATCCTCTGAATCATTTAGATGTTCATTGGCAAACTTCAAAAGGGCCTGTACATGTGCCTTCTTGAGGAGGGGACCTTGCGGGCACTGCAGGATTTCAATCCATGGCGGCTTATTGTGTTACCAATGGTTTGTTTGGTGACTGTGGTCCCAGCTGCCTTAAATCATTCACAAGCTCCTCCTGTGTAGTTCTAGTTTCATCCTCACTTTTCTCATGATCATCCTTGCATGGAGCTCCAGACCGAGGGAGATTGATGGTTATTTTCTATTTCTTCCATTTGCAAATATTCGCTCTAACAGTTGTCTCCTTCTCATCAAGCTTCTTGCTGATGGTCTTGTAGCCCATTCCAGCCTTGTGCAGCTCTACAATCTTGTCCCTGACTTCCTTTGACAGCTCTTTGGTCTTGCCCATGGAGGTGAGGTTTGAATGGAAGAGATTCTGTGAACAGGTGTCTTATTCACACAACGAGTTGTCGTTAGGAGCCTCTTCTTAAATTGACAGGATCAATCTGTGTGCCACATGAGCATATAGCCAGTCTGTGGGAGCCAGAATTATTGTTGGTTGGTAGGGGATCACATACTTCTTTTAATCACTGAACTGCAACTCCATTTATAACATTTGAATCCATGTGTTATTTATGGATTTTAGATTGATTTTCTGCCGCTATCATTTAAAATGCACCTATGATAAAAATGATAGACCCTTCATTTCTTTGTAAGCGGGCAAACTTACAAAATCTACAGGAGATCAAATAATTATTTACTCCACTGTAGTTACCTTCATATCGTGATTACATTTTGTAGGAACCCTGTATAGCTCCGTGAAATCTTACATGGGAGAGACTTCAAAAATGTTTTGCCCACAGACACCACAAGAAGGCCTTTTCCAAGAATTACCTTTGTTAGCAGCAGTGTCTCTTTAGTGATTTAGTGTTATTACCAAGGCTTTACTTACCGAAGACCTACCAATGACCATTATGCATGAAGGCAGGGAAAGTTCGGCCCTCATGACAAAACGAGACTGGATCACGTAAATGGCTTTTCTGGCTGATAAATCTTGCATCTTGTATTCTATGTTCTTAAAGCGAACCTTAACTGTGGAAGCTGTACCCAAAAAGGCAAGCCAAGGACAAAGAACTAATACATTTTGCCTATAGGTTTCTTGCAGCTGATCCTTTCCCCATTACAGACTTACAAGCCTTGTTCTGCATGTGTATATGTACAGAGGTGGGCATCTTGGTAGACGGGCAAATCATTGCTTCTTCATGTCAGAGCTTACCTTGTTGACTAGTGGTCAACTATTCAAATAGCCATAGATGTAAAAGAAGTGCAGATTCATGGAATAACTGTAGCAAGGAAATCCATGCATTGCATGTCCTCAGGTAGAGCTTCATGTCCAGCAAGGAAAACCATGAGCTGCATGGTAGTGACATCACTAAATTTCACTAAAGTTTTGGGGCTAGCTTTTCACTTAAATCTTAAGACTAGCGCAGCACCTTAGATCTAACATTGCAAATATACAGATTGAAACTCAAAGAGCAGGAGTGCTATTTTTCTGGAGGAATTAGACAAAATATACATTTTCAAGATACTGTTTAGGCCAGATTAATATTTCTAGCTCTTCTCTATTAGATGGCAAATCTTTACTTTTTGAATTCAGGTCCACAGTACACAGGCTTTAAGTTTTAAAAGTGATGAGGTACATGAAAGCTGACTTTTTAAGGGTCAAGCATTCAGAGTTGTCGCCCTTAGCCTTCTTTCAGTACCTAGGAAGTTGAGGAACTGAAAGAAGTATGTTGCTCTTCAAAAATGCCAGCTTCAACAACTGCGTTATTTTTGCTGATTAATGTTTCAATAAATGAACATTCTAAACAAATTGGTTTAAAGTTTACCTAATTGTTTCGCCCTTATTTAGAATTCGCATACGTGTACCCAGCATTTCGGAAAAAATTGTCCAAATCTTCCAGTCTTTCTAATCAAGGTTTGTGTTTATGTATAGGTACAGTTCCTGAATATGATATCATTTTTATAGTTAGGCCATGGTTATGAGTACTACCTGTTCTCCAGTGTGTAGTCCAGCATCTTTTCTCCTTTCACATTAATACTGATAATGAGCAGTAGGGTTTAAGCTAGCCATACCAATTTGGGCAAGTTCTAGGACAGTGTCTCACAACTGAAAAAACAAAAGTGCCATGCTGAAAACTATCAGTCAAATAGTGCCTGCATCCAATCAGACTGTTCAGATATTTTGACAACTGGTGCAGCCGGGTGTCAAAACTCAATTGCCCCAGTGTTAGATCCATCCATCTGCGCTTTGTAGCACTGATGAAAAAATCAGCTGAACAGGAATAAAAAATGTATAGGGCTAGCTTAACACTGAGATACAGAACAATACACATTATATGCTTCTTTAAAAAAAAAAAAAAAAAAAAGCACATGGATGTCAAATTCCCAAATTTAGGACTAGTAATGTCTAACCTTAATGGTTATTTAGTGAATGATAAAATTGATCACTGTTCTTCCCTGAATGGAGTTACCGGATTTTTAAGTTAAGAATTGTTGGATCTGCCCTGGCTAATAAGAACAACGCTTTATTAGTTCAGGTTTGCTTGCATTGCTTGGAATGGTGTTGATCATGTACATAATGCTAATCAGGTACAGTGCTTCAGTCGCTCAAAATGTAGAACACTTCAGATAACTGGATTTGGTTGCAATCTGGCTGCTGTTTTATAGTTGGACATGTTCTGCAGTTTTAGAGTTGTGTGCATTAGTGGTTTATCTCATGAAGAAGTAACACTTCTCACCTATAAGAAATATTCAGCCTGGGATCTTTTTAAGGGCTCATGTACACAGGACGTTGTATAATTACATTCCACGTGCTTATTTTATTAGTAGGATGTGTATAGTGTAGTACCCAATGGCAACCTATCAGAAATAATCTGATTCTCAATAAATGTGAAATCTGAGTGGTTACTTTGAATTGCTGCATTTTGACGTGCCTTGCTGTAAAAAACTAAATGGGCTTTGCATTCTCCAGTTAACCCACCGCAAAATTTAATTATCTTTTTTTCACGACTTGAGTGTCTGCTCCAGGTCTCTGGTATTGGGGAACAGTTTAAATTCTCTTGTATGGCACCAGGATGTTTATTCAGTCACATAGATTGGAAAAATATAGTTTTTCTTTGCCAGTTAGGAAATTAATTTCTGTTTGGGTGAATGGGTGGTCTTTTTTTTTTTTTAAATAACTAAAGTGACTAAAGAAGAAATGGTTCTTCTTGCCCCACAGTAACCAATCAGATTCCGTATTTTACACGCCCAATGTCATGGGTGCTTTTGTCATCCAATGCTGTTTTATCTATCACGTATTTGACTATCAATGGCCCACTAATGTATAATGGCACTCTTCCCATGATGGGGAGGTGTTATGCTAAAAAAAAAGAGCAGATAAAACTATTTTACATATCCTTACATTTTTGTTTTTAAATCAGAGTACGTTTTGACATTAGAGCCAAACTGGCAGTAAAAAAGCTGTCAAAGTTCCCTCAGTTTGCTTTTTAGGGTAATTGTACTCAGATTTTCCATCCTATTGTTACTTCTCCATTCTGTTTTAACATACGGAAATAGAGTTAACTCACATACCTCATTTGGGATCATTTATAAAACTAAACAAACAGTGCTTTCTTTCAATGGCAACAGCTCCATTACTTGCCTCAAATTTTTTTTTTTTTAAACACAACCTGATTGGTCAAAATGACTACTAATGTCTCTTGACTACCTTCCATTTACATTATTCGGCAGATCCTATGGCCAAGGCTTGCAGTGAATGATAGGCAACTCTATGTACTGCAGTGGTAAATACTGTTGTAATCTAATTGCTATAAGGGGTTAATAAATGTAATTCCAGTATTCAGTACATGAATTACTTTTGTTAGTTTCTTTGCATGCAGACCAAGATATCTAGTAGAATTGACTGGGACAAACTAGATCACTGTCAGTAATGATTGAGCAGTTAGAGCTTGCAAACAAAAATGAAACCATGAACATAAATTGAATCGTCATAATTACCTCTGGCGGAGTTAAAGTTTGTCCCAATTTGTATCCCTATTCATGGACAACTAGAACTGTATGCACCTGCTGAGTAAAATATAAATAAAGGCATGTGAAATAAAAGAGAAAAAAATATAAAGACTGCCATTGCAAGTGCAATTGATAAAGTGCCCTGTTTGTTAAAAATAGAGGTTTTCTTTGTCAGTTTTCAACTCTCCTCTTGTGAAACAGAGCAGGGACAAGTGCTTGTGTGTGCGTGTTCAGGTGTTTAAGGTACTCAGAACATACTTAGACTGAGTTGATCATTAGGTAGGTATACGTTTTTCTTTCTGCTGTGCTAATTCTGCCTTGAGAATACGGTCATTTGCCTAAACAGATTCCAACTCTTCAGTTATGCCACATGCGTACAATGTATTTGATCATGATAGATCTTTTTGTTGTATGACTGATCATCTTTCTCTGATCAAGAAATTTGTCTTTTACTAAAGATTTTTTCCAACTAAAGCAAGCCATAAATTATGCAATTTTCCTTCCTGCAGCCACGGGTTGCAAGAAAGGAAATTGCTCAATTTCCCCATCTACACAGTCAGTGCTGATAGGGGGAATCTCTCCTTCAGAGCTATTGTGTTCTGCCGGCAGGCCTGTGGCCATAGTCACTGGCAATAATCACATGCAAAAAATCAGACAGGCTGGTTGTACTGAAGTCAGTCAATCGATCGACTTCAGTACAACTAGCCTGCCCATAGATGGATCAAATCTTGATTCGATCCATCTGTGGCCAGCTGTAGATAAGATGAGGGCAGAGTTTGATCCCATGCAACATCTTTAAATCTTTTCAGAACCTGGGCAGGACAGACCTGCTTTACATCCAGTACTGCTGTGACAAGTTGGGCTTTGCTTCCCTTTTGAGCCTCCAGTGCCACCAGATATTTATCATCAATTCAAATGAAGAATCTAGACCATGCTGATGACAGCATTTCTGTGCTTTGCACCCTGTAGTTGAGTCTGTAGACAGCCATTTTGAAAATGTATTAGTACTGGTGCCACTGGAAACTCAGGTAAAAAGCCATATAACACCTGTCATAGTTAGAGAACTTGCCGCTTATGTCCTGAAAAGGCATAAGGACCAGACAGTGGATCAATCCCTGCCCTACTACATTAAGAAATATGTCAGTCATCTATCTAAAAATATTCAGCAAGTTAAAAAGTATTGTAATTTAAAAAATGTAACCAGAATCCACTTATATATCCCATTAAATATTATTTTAATAATATGTGTATATGACAATATTTTAGTTGTGCTGACATCCTAAAGAGATTTTTAGGTTTGCTTGTAATTTTTTTCAGCAGCACCTAAGTGTATCATTTGCTTGTGTTGCTGCATTAGCAGCTAAGTAGTTTGGTGGATCATCCCACTTACAACTAGTTTGTGACAATAGCAATGGTTCATCTTACTGTGTACTTCTATAGTGTTATCCTCTGGTGCATGGTGTGTAGTGGAAATGTATAATTGTGATCACCTGTCAGGACACCAGTATATACGGCTGTTATTTACTAAACCACATTTCCATTATACACAAGGTAAGTTGTTTTTGTTTTTTTGCTCAAGCAGTAACTAGCTTTGTTTGCATGTTCTTGGCTTAATAGTTCTGCTGCTGCTAATGATTAGTGAGGGCAGATCCTTTCCTGAGCTCGCAAAAACCCAATCTCCCAGTCCTGATTTCTCTGGAATATCATGTGCTGTGTTCCTGTGATTATCTGTGAAAGGTGGTGTATCTGAATTAGCCTATGTCGTTCTGTTTCAGGTACAGCAGGTCCTGTGCATCCACTGGTTGACCCACTGGCAGCTGGACCTCACCTGGCACGCTTCCCATACCCTCCTGGTACCATACCTAACCCCTTGCTAGCACAGCCACCTCATGAACACGAAATGCTACGGCACCCTGTTTTCGGTACGTATTTATAATATAGATCATGCAGTGCCTAGACATAAATTGTCTCGTTGGGCATGTAAACATCCAAAACTTTGATTTTAATGTTCACTTTAGTTTTGTGAGGTCAAATAGGGGAAAATGAACTGTGTATTCAGTAGTATGTAGACTGCCATGTTTTTGTGTGCAGCTTATAATAATAAGCTGAAATGTAAGCCTCTTCTGTTCTTAGACAATTCTCCTACAGCCAATATCAAAAGCTAGAGCATTTCAAGTTTAACTCTCTTTTTAAGGCTAAGTGCACACATATGATTTAGGTTTAGCTACTTGATAGCCAACTTCTTGCAACCATTTTGAAGACATGTCAATCTGCTGCTGGAGATCTATATATCAGAGAATGAAGTAGGATCAGTAAGGCATCTTTCATGGCTTAGTAATTGCTGTGGCAGGGGGAGAGAGATGTCGGGATGTCTTGATATTGGTGTCCTTGAGGTTGATTTATGTTATTCATTAAAAGAGCCAGTCCACTAAAATGTTTTATTAATTTTAGTCTGGATCTGGTGGGCCGAGTCACCTGCAGGCTACTTTCTCCTGGAGACATTTCCCTAGTTCCTGCCGACCTAAAATAAAATAAAAATTCAACAGGGAGAACTAGTGGTGCACCGAAATGAAAATTCTGGTGCCGATACCGTAAATTCAGAATGCATGTGGCCGAAAACCAAACCGAAATGTCTGCGTATGTGGAGGCTCCAATATTTTTTTTTTTTTGTATTTTTTTTCTACTTTCATGTGTGTATGTATATGTATATAATATATATATATTTATATATTTATTTATTTTATTGCCATCACATAGGGGACCAATAGTCCCCTATGTGATAGCATATGAGTGCCAGATCCTCTTTGTAGGGGGTGGGGGGCAGTGTGTGCAAGGGGGGGCAGGAGAGGAGCAGTGTATACAGAGAGGCTCCCTCACTGGCTGTCACTATTTGTCGGTGCTGATTTTTAAATGCAATTGATGGCTTTTTTTCTTACTTCACTATAGCTCACAGAATTAGCTGTCACTTTCCCTGGAGCTAAAGTAAACTTTATTTTTTATCTTTGGAAAGAAACTAAAAGGAAATGTTTCTTTTAATTCAGGAAGATAAACTAAAAGTAAACTTTGTTTCATTAGCTGGGGGGAAAGTGACAGCTAACTGTGTGATCTATAGTGAAGAAAAAAAAAAAAAGCAGGTAATTACATTTAAAAACTGGCACTGACATATACTGACAGCCAGTCACTGTATACACTGCTCCTCTCCTGCCTTTGTCAGCTCGCCCTTCACGTCTCCAGTACACACAGTCTCCTGTATCAGCTAAATTTTTCTATCGGCAAAATGCCGATAGGGCTATTTTCAGCCAATATGTTTCGGTGGCCGAAATTTCAGTGCATCCCTAGGGAGAATAGGACCCCCTTGTAATGCCTGTGGAAAGCCAATCCAGCAACTGAAGCTCACAAGTGGTTCAGAGAGAGAGAAATTAGTAGCTTTGGGGTGGTTTAACACTCCCAAGATTTACCAAGAGCTGAGATAATTTTTTGATTTTACAATCTCCAAACGTTTAAAGGATAAGTTCACCTGTTAACAAAAAGTAATAATCGCACATTTTTTTGCAGGTAAAATGTGCATTTATTATTTTTTGTTACTGGAGCCTCTAAAGCCATTGCGCAAGCAATCAGCAGATCATTGGTGCCATGCAGGTCTCCTTCTGACCTGTCAGTTTATTAAAACGTAAATACGGTATCTCCGCAAAACAACCCAACAAACGTCTAAATAGAAAAACTTAAATAGTCCCAAAATATAATCACTCAAAACTCTAAGTAGTGTCCAGTGTCTCAACAATCCAAAATGATGAAGACAGATGAATATATCCCACTTATATATATCAATTCTTTAAGGTGCTGAACCCTTCAAATAGCTTCCACGAAAAACCTCAAATAAAAAGAAACTCAAAATAGTGTATTAACTTAATTACTCATCTAGAAAATCACTCCATGCGTGCAAAACGCAGAAAATAGTGCAAAAAAACGCGCGAAAAAAAAAAAGCAAACAACGCTTGTGCCAAATCAGTGATGTGCTTCACTCAGTGCAAACAACTCCAGTGGTGTAACACTTCTACTAAGTAAGGCATATGTACCCTTACCAGAGATAAAAAGAAAAACGCTGTAAGATATCAATTGAAGGAATCAGCAGACTGCTCACTCTCCTCTCCTCCACTCCTGAAGCGTATCGCTGTAATATCCCCTCATGGTAACACGTAAGCCCTTTCCACGGTCTCCAGGCTCCAAGCAAGATTTATATGAAAAGATGATAGTGTAATTCCGTATACCACAAGAACTTTAAACTTTAATATATCTGCTTACATGTTAAGTACAAGAAATTGCGCATAGAAAAAACCCAAAGTTCCTGGGGATTACCAGGCAGCTTCCAGGTGGACAAACACTGCTGCTCCATAGTCAAAGATGGCCGCCGTACCACTTCCGGTTCCTGCTCTGTACGTCCGATGTCACTTCCTCTGACGAGTTTCGTCACATCCGGGACTTAATCTTAAGGGATAAATACGTTGGGGCACCTGGCCGCAATTTAACATGCTCCTCAGCCTATTAGCGAAGCTCCGGCCGCCATATTGGATTAGGGAAACTAGCCCATAACTTTCCAAGCAGCAGAATCCTATCTTAAATGAGTGTCTCAGATAATGAATAAATACATTTGTATAAGGTGACCCATTGGCTACATCCCTATCCTCTCTCCTCACAAGTATTACAGCCAATATAAATAAATGCAATATTAAAAATAATAAATAATATATACATAGCAACATATGGGACCCCACAAATAACAATGTTAATAATGCACAATAAACACCCATTTAGAAATAAAATGAAATAAAATACAAATATAAGTTTAAAATTAGAATATCCCTAAGAATATATATAATGAATGAAATTATATTAATATTAATAAATCCATAAACCTGATCCTCATAATACCCTAACATCCCCTACTGGTAACTAATGCCTAAATTAAGTATTATATAAGTAAAAACTAGCCACAAAATACCTATAAATATTAATAAATATGTAATAAAACAAAGGATAAATTACAAATGTCAATATTCATCTAAAAAAATTTATATAACCTATGAATATGTATATTAAAAATTAGAAATAAAACAAGATCTAAATCAACATTTAATCCTCTAGGTCTAATTGTCCGTAACTGAAATATCCAGAATGTTTCATTTTGTGATAATGTTTTAATTTTATCTCCCCCTCTCCAGTGGGCTTCTATAGAATCTATGCCACAAAATTTCAGGGACCTCGGATCACAGTTATGGGCATCCCTGAAATGTCTGGAGAGACAGTGATCCTTTTTTCCTTTTCCTATGTTAGTAACATGCTCTCTGAGTCTTTTATAGAGGGGTCTAGACGTCCTTCCCACATATTGTAGATGACACGAACATTCTAAAATATACGCTACGAATGCCGTGTTACATGTAATTAAATTCTTTATCTTAAAACTTTTTCCAGTACTCTGGAAGGTAAACTCTGATATGACCCTAATATTAGTCCCTGTCGTTTTACAAATACAGCACTTTTACAAGGATAAAAACCTTTCAAATTAAACATGTTAATCTTCTTTCTCTTGGGAGGAGAGAGAACACTTTTTACTAGAATGTCATGTAAATTATTGGTTCTTCTATAGATAAAGACACTGTCAGTGTATTCGCTTTCTCTTACATCCCATATGGGCAAGCAGATACTTACTGACAGGATGGCTTCATTGAAAGTTACAAAATGACAGCTGCAAAAGCAAGTAGTTTTCCCCTTTCACAGAATACTGTGAAAGAGTGATGTGGCTGGGCAAGTGGAGCCCTGCATGGCTGCATTTTTTTTAAATTGTGACAGTTAGTTTGGAGGAGAAGATTCCCTGCTAGCGGTTACAGCGGACGGAGGGGGGTGCAGGGTCCGGTCTGTTCATTCATAGCATGTTCTATGTTACATCCTGAATATGAGTGTAACATAACATGTTACGAAAGGTGAACTTATCCTTTAAGCACTTAAGGAAAAATGCGTTAAATTGAGGATGCTTATAAATATAATCCATTGAATAGTTTTTATTTACCAGTTCACAACCTACAAAATGCATAATCAGAAAAAAACTAAACCAAAACAATATATCTTATGCTTTAAAAGATCAATTCCTTCAGGTACAGTTTCACACAGCTAGAATACATTTAGATGTTGCCTGCATCTGAAAAGCAGTTCATGTTCTGATTGCTTTCCAGAGTCATTTGACAGGCAACGAAGTCACCTCCTTACTGCCTGTTTTAACACTGTAATTGGGGGTGGGGTGTGTACTCCTATTATTAAGTGTCCTAATATTAGCTTTGCTGTCTGCTTCTGGCTTCTAAAAGGAACCCTCATTCTTTAGTAACGATTTATATTACATCAAACTGATGAGGTTAAAAGGAGATAGTTGTTTATCTTTGCATTTCGTTGATGGTGTTTTTGTGTGATATTTCTTCCAGGAGCTCATTATTATCCTCGGGATCTGCCTGCAGGTATTCCGCCACCAATGTCTGCTGCTCACCAGCTCCAGGCTATGCATGCCCAGTCTGCGGAGCTGCAGAGGTTGGCAATGGAACAACAATGGTTACATGGTCACCCTCACATGCATGGCGGGCATTTACCCAGCCAGGAAGATTACTACAGGTGAGCCAGCCTTATTGCATCTTGGTTATTAAACATATTATGACATAAATAAGGACAATAATAAAAATATCTTCATAGAAATGTACAAGTAAAGTGTTTGTGACACTTTATTTCCCTCGATTGATTGAGTCTCTCAAATTCTAATTGCAGAAAGTATGGTGTTAATGTGATACCTCTTTCATTCTCCAATTCTTGTATAGGGAAAGAAGATCCCATTGTGCACCATATTAATGAGCAAAGTAAATTTTACCTTATATTTCTGTTGTTTACCTTTGCAGATGATTATAGCAGGGAAAAATTACACTTTTACTACTTTGGATTTCTCATTTAATAATTAAAAGAGACTTTTAATTGTTTTTATATTCTGCAATTCCTTACAAGCAGGTTTTAAAATCTAGTAGCGTGTCAGGAGATATAAAGAGTTTATATTCCTCTGGGTAATCCTACAAAAGCCACATACACGTGTGTGCTCTGGGCAGTACAGAGGATTATTGAGCATGTCATTTTAGCTTGACACCTTAACATAAATCTAGACCGTCAGGCTTGACGAAGCAATGGTATTCTACTGAATTGTTGAATCTCTGCATGCCTAAGCTGTCTCTCCTTGGGCACTATCCTATTACCACCTAAACTTGGCATCCCCTGCACTTTCATGTAGTGTAGCTGATATCAAAACTGACCTATACTGAAATAACCCTGCTTCCACTCTGCTGACCACTTCTCTCACTGTCGGAGTAGCACAAATCCTAAAAGAAGGTATTATACTCTATTAATACCCTCTCCAGTCAGTCCCGTTAGGCTAAAGCTGTGGTCACATCCTCTTTGCTGAAGGAGCCTTAGATGTAGACATTCAGACAGAGCTAGCCAATCAGTGGCTCTGCCTTTTCTTTCAGTAGAGCTCATATGACCAGTGCTTCAGTAATTTGGCTACATGACTGCCACTAGATAGACCCTTTAACACCAGTTCTTCAGGAAAGGTGAGGGTAGTGAGAGCTTATTTAAGTATCCATGCCCATTGAAGACCCAATCCAGCCTAAAATGTTTTCTAGCTAAAGATTTTTCTTGGCTAAAGTGAGCAAACAGGATCTCTTCCTTTTTTTTTTTTTTTTCTTCTTCTTCTTCCTATAAAGTTTAAACAAAGGGTGAGAAGAACATTATAAAAAGTTATGTATGCATACACATTTTTGCACTTCTAAACGTATCAATACGCAAGTATTTTACTGATCATTACAAAGGAACTTTTTCCTAGAAAAACACGTGTGATAACGTCCGTAATATTTTTCCGGCTGTCTATATGAGGCCTAACAATTTGTGACAAAGGCATTTCAATATATACTTGAGTTTGAATTCAGGTCCTTTCAGAAGTGTTCCAGGTCTAGAATGCCATTTTTTAGATAGCATTTTCTTGTGAATGCAGAAAACTAAAAAACTTTAAAATCCTACACTGTATAATTTTTTTTTTTTTCTTGTCTTTTCAGTCGTCTGAAGAAAGAAGGGGACAAACAGTTGTAACGAAGGGATGACTTTGGACCTCTCCCTCCCTTCAAGCTCCCTTAGGAGAGTCAGGCTCCATACGACGGGTCCCCAGAGGCTGCAAGATTTCTTCTGTATTTAAAGATATGTCATAAACTATCCTTTTTCATCTGTAAAGAAGACTCTTCAGAGCCACACTGGCAGCCCCCCCCTGCATGACACATTCTTCCCCCAGCCTCGGGAGGGGAGCAGGTGGTGAGGGAGAGGTGGGGACAGCACCTGGACACTTGACAGCAGTTCCAACAGCTTGTACTTTGGAGGTGCTAGCCCCATATATACACTCACTGTGTGCACACGAAGCCAGAGACTTGCTACAATGAAAATATACTCTGCCAGCACTCTTGGGTCTCCCGTGCTGCAATACAGATCCATTTTTCTTTCTTTTCTGACATCAGCAGATGACCCTCTTCATTGTACAGAGTTTCCCCAGTCTGCCTATATCCTGTAAATACATTAAAAGCACGGACTGAAGGATTTTAGCAGACTTTTTCTTTTACTGTCCCTGCAGTGCAGTTACTACCTGTGAATTTCCATTAACCTCTTGACTGCCACTGGAACCTGTGACATTAAGCCTATGGCAGTAGAGGGGTTAATAATTTAAATATAACCACAGAGGTACTCAAGCTTTACCAGTGCAGCACTGGTAAAGCCCTACATATACCATGTTTTGATTTTTTGTTTTTTCTTTTTTTTTTTTTTTGTTTTTTGGGGGTTTTTTTGTAACCATCCTCTTCTTGCTTCTCATTTACTCCACTTCTTTGTCTGAGCCTATGTTATCTACATTCTTAATTATCCGTTATGGAGGAAGGATCTGATTTTACTCCATGTTGAATCCACTCCAGTTTTTTGGGTATCTCTGGAGAGTTGGGGGTCCCTTTTTTTTTTTTTTTTTTTTCTATTTTTATTCTAAGTTTGCGTCTCACTTGTAGATAGGGGCTACAGCGTTTTAAGTTGTAGAGGCAAAACGCACACAGGCTTGTGCGTATCTTCACTTTATAGCATTAAAGTTTCTGCAGGGTTAGAACTTTTATTATTTAATTTATAAGGAAAGCCTCCTATATTTTACTGTTTTTGGGTCCTGCTATACATAATGCCAAGGGTTTTATTTGTACAGATTCTATTTAACCTGGGCTCTTATTTTTTAAATTCATGTTTTTTTTTTTTTTTTTTTTTTTTTTTTTTTTTGTATGTTTTATCTGCTTGTACTCTCTGCCACCCCCCTTCCCCACAGTGGCAGGTCTGTGTCACGGTATAAGAACTTTAGGTGTGTGGGTAAGCAGTATTGAGACACATTCAGTAACATGTGGTGTGTCAGTAGACAGGCTCTTGGCTGCGTGCTTCTTGGTTAAAAAAAAAGAAAAAAATGTTTCTTCTGAAGATGGCTGTTGTAAAGCAGTTGTCCACATGCTTACAATTCTCTTCCACAAAGCCTCTTAGCTGAACCCATTTTCCAAACCGAGGCATTACCCTTGCCGCACAGACTGTTATTGTTTTGGTGACCAGCATCTCAAGGCTGCTCCAAATTACAAAGCGCAAAGGTTCCTGTCAAGCACCCCTTCACTTTATCGCACTCGTCTTTTCAGCTCAGTGATGGTGTAAGGATTTTAAAAAGTGAGCATCCTGATTTGCACATACATCTTCTTTGGTCAATCAGCACAAGGGACTTGCACCTAGTGCCAGTCATGCCCTTCAGGGAGACCTTCCCTGCCCAATGGGCACAGGTGACATTTTTCAGTGCTGTATGCATCTAGAATGTTACATACAGCATTGTACTGCAGGAAGAATCTGAGGTTGTTTAGCACAGAGAGAAGTGTCAGAATACTTGTAAACAATAAAAAGGTGTATTCTCACTGCAGAGATGCATTAATTTCTTGCACCATTAAATGTCCTACCCCATCTTTCATTCCCATTTTAGGCATCATGGGAGTACAGTTCAACCAGCAGCTGGACAGCCAAAGATAGACATCCCTGAAGTAGGTTGTATACCACTAGCATTTTAACTCCCCTAGTTGCAATAGCATTTTTACACTACAGTTAAGAATATATTCACAGATGTCAGTGTGCTGCACCCTTTATATTTCTACAGATTCCTCATCTGCCCTTCCATATCCACGAGTGTCAGGGTGCTTGACTCCTTTGTCCTTGCAGGCTGTTTTATGTGAAGCTTGTTCGGCGTTGAGGAGACCCCTGCAGTAAGTTGTGCACTAGGCCTCTCCCCAGCACTGAAGGGCTAGAAATTTTACTGCCATAAGGCCTGGTAATACACGGTCTCCCGCCGCGCTGGCAGAGAAAAAAAAAACAAAACAAAAAAAAAAACAGTTTAAGGAAGTTGACTGTTGTCTTTCAGTTATTTTTGTTACTTTTTACCACTCCACTTTGTTTCGTTCTTTCCTATTTTTGTAATTTTTCGGACGTACCTCGTTCAGTGTGTAAGAAACTGTAAAGCTACTTGTTTCATGGCGCCATTTAGCAGAATGTACATCCAGACTGCTCCATTTCTATATATATCTTGAAGATTTTAATGTATATAGGAGTAGTTTGCCATTGGGGTAGAAACCCAGAAATTCGTGAATTCTGTGTTTTCTCCATTTTGAGTATTTTGTAATTTTTTTGGAAATATTTGTGGACATAAATAATAAAGCAAGCTACACCACAGGCAAAGCGCTAATTGGGTCTGTTATTCATTAGTCTGCACTTAATGGAGGGTTGGAATATGTAAACCTAACTTGTAATACCAGACACATCGCATATATATTGGAATATTATGGAGTGCATAATGTCTTTTTTTTTTTTTTTTTTTTCTCCAAATGGGTTTTCAGTATATAGATCTGTACATGTTCATGTAGTGGCCATCTGTAAATTAGACATTGTTGGTAGCATTCTTGTTAAATAAACTTGCTCAAACCAATTTGATCACAGGTTTAGGCAGGTAAGATAAACCTTCTAATTTCCAGACAAATGATGTAATTGTTAGTCACAGATTTTCTTGAGTATTTGAATCAAATTGCAGAGTTCATGAGTTTTCAGTACTCCTGGTCAGTTAACAGCCTAATCTGCCAGGGCACCAGCAGATCAGCACATATAAATTTAGAAGAATATTTCTGTAAAAAAAAAAAAAAAAATTAGGAGTTCTGCAAATTATCAGCCAGAAAGTGTTCATAACTAAAGTATGATCAGTTACAGGGCAAACGTCCTAGTAAGTTTCATCAACAAAGCTATGTCCTTTAAGCTACTTTCACACTAATCTGCCACAAAAACGCATATGTGTTTTTGCCGGATTTTTACAGGACATGATTTTTTTTTTTAAAGGACGTGACTCAAAAGCGCATCTAGGGTGTGTTTTTGAGGCGTTTGTCATGTTTTCCATTGATTTGAATAGGGAGTTGCGTTTTTGGTGCATTTTTTTCTCTACTGAACTAATGTGCTTCAAAAAATGCTGCAACCAGGATTTTTTACACCGCAACTGAAGCGCAACACCCCAGTGTGAAAACATACATAGAATTTAAAGGGGAGCATTTTTCTTGAGCTTTTCAGGCACTTTTTTTTTTTTTTTTTTTTGTAATGCAAAAGTGCTTCAAAACCTCCTCAGTGAGACAGCCGCCTAAACCTGCAGTGAGATGACAGGAGCAGTATAGTATACTCTCCTAGACAAAAGCACAGTATGTGATGGTACTAGTAAATGTGTCCTATGCTATATACATATACGAGGGGCATTCAAGTCAAACTGGGACTTTTAATTTTACAGGTATAAAAAGGGATTTTAGCGTGGCGGTACTACACACAGTAGTAAGTGGAAAGTGTGTCCTATTACCGACAGGCAGCAGCCCACTTGTCGCAAACCAGTCCAGAGACCGTTCATCAACATAGCAGACAACAGTGTTAGTGCTTTTGTGGAACAGCGTGTGGTGATGGTTTCTTGTGAACGAAGATGTAAATCCCACGGATATCTGCAGAAGACTTCAAGCACAGAACAGTGATGAAACGCTCAGCTGCAGCAAGATATTTAAAATGGTGTAAGCGTTTCCAAGATGGCCATATGTCTGTCAGTGATGATCCCGACCGTGGTGGCTCCCAGCCCACAGCAGTCATTTCTGTGAACTTTTAGCTCGAGGAATGCCTGATCCTGGATAATTGATGCATAATCTGTCGTCAAATTGCACAAGAGACCAATCTATCTGTGGGACCTGTGAACACAATGATGAAGTGAAGCAGGCTATCCTAGAATGGTTGAGCTGTACTGACAAATCTTTCTATGCCAAAGTTTTCCAGGCATTAAAGGCTGGAATAATTTAGCAGGGGAGTATGTAAAAAAAAAATAAATGCATGCAGTTTCCACTCCTTGAACTTTGTTCTATTATATAAACTCAAAAGTCCAAGGTTGACTTGAACCCCCCCCCCCCCCCTCATACAATAAACGCAGTCAATGGAAAAAATATTTTCCAAAACAACAAACATGCTAAGATTACATTACACCTACTTTATTCTTACACACGATGCATATAGTGTGTGTATAGCCAGAACCGTTTTAATTGTATTAGCCACACCCCAAGATGCAAAATAATGTTCCTTCATTAAATCAGCCATTGGGAACATGTTCTATTCTGACATGGTTTGCGATTGGCACAGCGCTTTCTCAAAGATTCTTATACTTTTTTTTTTTTTGTAGTTTTGGATAGATTGGGTCCATAGTTGGAGACACATTTTTTCACTCATTTACTGCCTTTGTCCCGTTTGAGAGATTTCTCTTCACCTCCTGTCCCAGACGCACAGCAGGAAGTGACAGGAAATCTCTCCAAAGCCAGAGGTTAAATAGCGGTTACCGGAACAGGTTGCCCCAGTGGAATATTTCTGATCACATGATCACCTCCTGTTCCTGTTAAAGCTGAACTCCAGGAATTCAGCCACTTTGTAAAATGTGTTAAAATACTAGGAGTTAAGTCCAATAAGATGCATGCCACCTCATGGACTTCTTTTAATTT